TTTAATTCATATATCAGCATCTACTAAGTATATACTGTGGGGTAGGCATCAAGTATGGGGTGAAGGTCATGCCTAGCCCTTCATGACAGTAGGAAGTTACACAGACCACTGTTATTGTATTAATTGTATTTTTAAATTCTGAGATAAATCTTGGTTCCTTGAAGAGAGGTGTAAAACACATTGGAAATGCTAAAGGCTCTGTTAATCTGGGTCCTGTTGAGAATGTGATGAGAAGAAAGGACAGGCTTCTTAAAGGGTTCAGAGGAGCTGAAGAAAGATGCTGGTGAGAGCCTGAAGCATTGCATTTATGTGCTTAGTGGGCAGTCCTGCCTCAGATACAGTGACTCCACCAGTTGTTGCAATACCAGTGGTCCATGAATACCTTAGAGGTCAGAAAAGATTCTGACCTTCTATTCCTTGTGATCCCATTTGTATTACTCCAAGTTATTTCGATTGTTTTTTTTCTTCTAGCATTTCTGACAGTTAGACCAACTAGTAGTAAGAGTTTATTGTGACATTATTCACTTGCTATAGTTTATTTCAGCTTAGGTCTCCACATTATATTACAATTATGGATAAGATGTCCTCTCACAGTATTGGTGGCCTTGTTTCCAGAGAGGACAAAGGACCCGAGCAGACTTGTAAAAGGGGAGATTTGTATTTGGGTCTCAATGCCCATTTCTCATTAGCATTCTCTTCTCCTCTCCTTTGTACATCTTCTCTAACCTGTGACCTGGATCCCTCGCATGTGCCCTCAGTGATTTCTGGTTCAGTGGAAAATACCAGACTTTAGCTTGAGCTCCCCACCCACAAACTGTGCTGCATTGGGTCACCTCTCTTCTACCTTAAAAACTCATTGTCAATGGACAAATTTCTAGAAACACACAGTTTCCCAGAACTGAACTGAAAAGAAATAGAAAACTTGAACAGACCAATAACAACTGAGGGAATTGAAGATGTAATCAAGAAACTCCCAGTAAACAAAAGCCCATGCCCAGGTGGCTTCATGGGAGAGTTTAATTGAATATTCAAAGAAGACCTAATACCCATTATCCTCAAAATATTTCAAAAAATCCAAGAAAATGGAAGACTTCCAAACTCATGTTATGAGGCCAACATAATTTGAATTCCAAAACCAGGTAAAGACACTACAAAGAAAGAAGACCACAGGCCAATATCCCTGATGAACAGAGATGCCAAAATCCTTAATGAAATATTAGCAAATTGGATCTAGCAATACATCAAAAAAATTATTCATCATGACCAAGTGGGATTCATGCCTGAGATGCAAGGATGGTACAATATCTGCAAATCAATAAATGTGATACACCATATGAACAAAATGAAAGATAAAAACTATATGATCAGCCCTGGCCGGTTTGGCTCAGCGGTTAGAGCGTCGGCCTGCGGTCCTGAGAGACCCGGGTTCGGTTCCCGCTAAGGGCATGTACCTCGGTTGCAGTTTGTCCCCAGCCCTGGTCGGTTGTGAGGGTGGCAGCCACTCGATGTGTTCCTTTCACATCGATGTTTCTCTCTCTCTCTCTCTGTTCCTCTCTCTCCCTCCCACTCTACCTGAACAAAAAATGGAAAAATGTCCTCGGGTGAGGATTAAAAAAAAAAAAACAAACAAACAAAAAAAACTATATGATCACATCAATCGATGCTGAAAAAGCATTCAACAAAATCCAGCACCCATTTCTGATAAAAATGCTCAGCAATCTGGGAATAGAGGGATCATATCTTAACACAATAAAGGCCATATATGAAAAACCTAGAGTCAACATTATACTCGATTAGCAACAACAACAAGCATTTCCCTTAAGAACAGGAACCAGACAGGGGTGCCCACTCTCGCCACTCTTATTTAACATAATACTGGAAGTCTTAGCCACAGCAATCAGAAATGAAGAAAACATAAAAGGAATCCAAATTGGAAAGGAGGAAGTGAAACTGTCATTATTTGCAGATGACATGATACTGTACATAGAAAACCCTAAAGACTCCATAAAAAAATCTACTCAATTTAATAAGTGAATTTGGCAAAGTAGCAGGATACAAAATTAATGTCAAGAAATCAATGGCATTCTTATACAACAACAACAAACTCACTGAAAGAGAAACTAAAAGAGCAATCCTATTTATATTGTGGCAAAAAAAAATTAAGATACCTGGGAATAAACTTAACCAAAGAAGTAAAGGACCTATTCACAGAAAACTACAATTCACTGACAACAAAAATAGAGGAAGATATAAAAAGTGGAAGCTTATACTTTGTTCATGGGTTGGAAGAATTACATCATTAAAATATCCATACTACCTAAAGCAATCTATAGATTCAATGCAATCCCCATCAAAATACCAACAACATATTTCACAGAACTAAAACAAATACTTCAAAAGTTTATATGGAACCCCAAAAGACCCCAAATAGCTATAGCAATCTTGAAAAAGAACAAAGTAGGGGGGATCACAATACCGTATATCAAGTTATACTACAAAGCCACTGTAATAAAAACAGCCCGGTACTGGCACAAGAACAGGCATATAGATCAGTGGAACAGAACAGAGAACCCAGAAATTGACCAAAGACATTATGCTCAATTAATATTTTACGAAGGTGCCAAGAGCATACAGTGGAGTAAAGACAGCCTCTTCAATAAATGGTGTTGGAAAAATTGGACAGCTACATGCAAAAAAATGAAAATAGATTATCAACTTACACCATACACAAAAATAAACTCAAAATGGATAAAAGACTTAAATGTGAGTCATGAATCCATAAAAATCCTAGATGAAAATGCAGGCAACAAAATTTCAGAAATCAAACGCAGCAAAATTTTTACGGATACAATGCCTAAGGCAATAGAAACAGGAAAAAATGAACACATGGGACTACATCAAACTAAAAAGTTTCTGCACAGCAAAAATACAACCATCATAATGGAAAGGGAACCCACTATATGGGAGAAAATAATTGCCAATGATACACCAGACAAGGAGCTAGTTTACAAAATATATAGAGTACTCATACAACTCAACAAGAGAAGACAAAGAACCCAATTAAAAAATGGGAAGAGGACCTAAACAGACACCTCTCCAAACAGGACATACAAATGGCCAAGAGACATATGAAAAAATGCTCAATGTCACTAATCATCAAAGAGATGCAAATTAAAATGACCTTGATGTATCACCTCACACCTGCTGTTATCAACAAATCTTCAAACAACAAGTGTTGGCGAGGGTGTGGAGAAAAGGGGACTCTAGTGTACTGCTGGTGGGAATGCAGGCTGGTGTAGCCACTATGGAAAACACTATGGTGTTCCCTCAAAAAATTAAAAAGTGAACTGCCATTTGACCCAGTGATCCCACTTCTAGGAATATACCTTAAGAAACCTGAAACACCAATCAGAAAGAATGTAGTACCCCTATGTTCATATCAACACTATTTACAATTGCTAAGATCTGGAAACAGCCCAAGTGTCCAATAGTAGATGAGTGGATAAAAAAGCTGTGGTACATTTACACAATGAAATTCTATGCAGATGTAAAAAATAAAGATCTCTTATCCTTTGAGATGACATGGAGAGTATTATCGTAAGTGAAACAGGCCAATCAGAGAAAGACAAATGTCACATGATGTCACTTATTTGTGGAATATAATGAACAAAACAAGCTGAGGAACAAAATAGACTCAGAGACATGGAAGTGGAGTGCAGACTGACAAACATCAGAAGAGGTGGATGTGGGGACAGGGAAGACATAAACCAGAACTTATGTTCATGTATGAGTACACAAGGACATGGACAATATGGCCGCGGGGGCTGGGGGATTGGGAGGAGTGTATCAATTGGGTAATAAAGGAGGAACATCTGTAATAAAAATAAATAAACACGACAAAAAGAACCATATCAGAATTCATTCAGTTAACTGGGTAAATGCTTTAGAGAAATACAGAGTGTAATTAGAAAATATATGAGTGATGGTTGTGGCAGAATAGTCAGAATGCTTTTCTGAGGTGTGAACTTGAAGCCAAAATCATGGGAGTTAAGGTGGAATTAACGAGCTGAAGAAGTGGTAGTGAAGGTTCTGAGTCATTAAGGATCCTATATTGTTAAATTGGGTGTGTGTATGTGTGTTGTCTGTATCCATCCATCTGTCCATTCATCCATCCATCCATACCGGTATCAGAGAAAGAGAAGGGTAAATATGCAGACTATGAATTTGCGCTGCTACTTCTGTACCACAATTTCACTTGGTATTTATGTGTCATTAAAATCTCCAGGGGGATGCCCAGTCTCACTTAAATTCATAATCAGAAATATCAGTTAGGTCTTGAGGAAAGCCAGCAGTGCTGTGACTGTTCCCTTGTAAGAATCTTCTCCTTCCATGCTACACATCTGTCTTCAATCTCTCCTCTCCCCCAAACTAGAAATATCATATCGGCAAATGAACATATTTTCTTTTGCCAAAATAAAAAAAGGAAAAATGCAAAGAGAAAGTCCATATGCTCCTACCACAAAAATCTAGCAATCTGTGGCATCTGTACTTAGATGCTTTGTTTTCTTCCTGTTAACAGGGGTGGGGAACTTCTGGACCATAGGTCATATAAGGCCACAAAATCAATACCAGCTAACATCGCATGCCTCACCAAATATACCAGGCTAATTTTTTAGTTGATAATTTTGTGTGGCCCATGAGTGACATTATAACTATCCAAATGGCTCTTGGCAAAAAAAAAAGAAAGGTTCCCCATTCCTGAGTTAAGGCCTGTAGTCCCACCCAAGGTCAACTGCTCCATCTGTGCTCCAATTCCTAGCCCCTTCAAAGGTACTGCCCCTGCCTTTTCCACCCCTTCCTTCTACATTTTCAGAATTTCTGTCTCCACTATATTGTGTCCATTGCATGCAAAAATTATGTAATTATTCCCATCTTAAAAAATAAAGTCTCTCCTGATACATGTTTCAGCTAACATTTTTTTTATATTTCTTTTTTTAAATCATGTTCCTTCTTATATGTATCAAAACTCATACTGAATGATGAGCTCTGGGTTGCAAAAGAGGATTTCTTTTTCACACCTGTATGTCGTCTTTGACCACAAATTAAAAACAAACACAAATGCTCTAAATTTTAAAAAGTGTGTGTGTGTGTATTGTCTGTGTCCATTCATTTCTCTTCTCCCCATTTCAGCAAAACTCATCCCACCTTCTTGTACATCCACCTCAATCAGACTTTTATGTTCTCCTTTCATCTGAAGGCTCTGATCAAGGGCATTACTAATTTAAACAAGACAAAGATTCTCAGGTCTTTTTTTAAATTTAAAAGTTTTATTCAATTACAATTTATATTTGTTATTACTTTGTATTAGTTTCTGGTGTACAGCATAGTGGTTAGATAATCATATACTTTATGAAGTGTTCCCGCTGATGTTTTCAGTACCCAAATGGCACCATACATGGTTATTACAATGATATTGACGATACTGTATTTCCTATGCTTTACCTTATATCCCCGTGACTGTTTTGTAACTACCAAACTGTACTTCTTAATCCCTTAATCTTTTTCACCCAGTCCCAAACCCCTCTCCCCTGTGGCAACCATCAGTCTGTTCTCTATATCTATGAGTCTGTTTCTATGTCATTTGTTTATATTGTTCTTTAGATTCCATGCATAAGGAAATCATACAGTATTTATCTTTCTCTGACCAACTTATTTCACTGAACAAAATACCCTCTAGGTCCATCCAGGCTATTGCAAATGGTAAAATTTCTTCTTTTTTATGGCCAAGTAAATTCCATTGTACATACATACCACCACTTTTTTACCCACTTGTTTATTGATGGGCACTTGGGTTGCTTCCATAATCTTAGCTATTGTAAATAAGGCTGCAGTGAATATAGGGGTGCATATATTCTTTCAAATAAATGTTTTGGGTTTCTTTGTATAAATCCCCAGAAGTGGAAATGCTGGGTCATAAAGAAGTTTCATTTTTAATTTTTTGAGGAAGCTCCATACTGCTTTCCACAGTGGCTGCACCAATCTGCATTCCCACCAATAGTGCACGAGGGTTCCCTTTTCTCTACATCCTCTCCAGCACTTGTTCTTTGTTGTTGGATTGATGATAGCCTTTCTGACAGGTGTGCTGTGATAGCTCATGGTGGTTTTAGTTTAAATTTCTCTGACAATAAAGATGCTCAGTTCTTTGGTGAAGGAATCTAGCAGGATCATAAGATGTAGCAAATCTTTACTGAGAAAGGGAGAAGAAGAAAATCTTGTAGCTCTTTTGGCTTAAAAAAAGAGCCCATTTTTATTTAAGTCTCTGGGGAATAGAAATATTATTTTAATATCATTACCATAGGAAAACTAAAGCAACAATAAAGAACTGTAAAGTTTTAGGTATTAAAGGTAATATTTCTCAGGACATTAGGAATAATCTTTTTAGCAATATCTTGATATACTATATGCTTTGTGTCAATAATACTTCAAGAAAAATGGAACAGAATTATATATTCATACAAGACTTCACATAGGACAGGCAAGTGAGATAAATTCTTTTGTGCCATTTTCAAGTTATTACCTTATAACTGGTTTTACGATGTAGAATGCAGTCTGCTTTCCTGCTGCTTTAGGGGGAGATAAAACGTTCTCTCCTTATGTTTTTTGAGATTCTTTTTGCCGTTATTGAGAAGGACTGCAGTTTCAAGGACAAGCATTGCAATTAACATTGTAGGAACTAAATAAAAAAGCAGACCCAGGAATCTTTAAATGTACAATATTGAAGTGTAAAGGGCAAAAGAGAAATTTAACAAATGAAACCAGAAGGCGTGTACTGTAGTGATTTGCTTTTGCAGTCACTGGTAAGCTTTAAATGTCAGCCTGCAGTCAATGGTCAGTCCTCGGCTAGCTGTCTGCAGCACTGGGCGCGTTTCATCACGCTTTCCTTCTTGAAGCCTGCTAACTTCAGGACACGCTCTCTTCCTTCCTCTTCCACTCCACTGGCCATTCCTCCTTCCTCTCCTTGGTGGCTGGGTGTAATTTTTAAAGGTTGAAGTGCCTTGAAGCCAGCTGTGTGCTAGACCAGGACCTTCTTCCCAGTCAATCTACCTGTGCTCCACAGGTGACCTCACTCGGTTCCATGGCTTCAACACCAACTGTGCTTATTTTCATCAGATATCTATTATCCATCTATTAACCCATCTTTTTAATATATATATTTCAGTGCAAACTAATGACCTCTGTACACTTCCCTTTAATTCAGCATGAAATTTATTCATGTTTAATATATAAATTTACAGTTGTTTTTGTTTTGTTGTAATATTTCTGTATAATTAAATGTACACATCTAAAGTATGCATTCCCTCAATTTTGACCCGTGTGACCCAAACTCCTGTTAAGATACAGAATGTTATCATCATTTTAGGAAGTCCTTTCAATGCCTTTCCAGCTGATTTCCCATTCTCCACCCTGTGGTGACCATTGTTTGGATGATTTTTCCCACCATTACTTTTAGAATTTTAAGTAAAATGAATCACACAGCTATAGTCTTTTCTGTAAGACTCTTTTTCAGTCAGCATAATGCTTTTGAGCTCATCATGTTGTATGTATCAATAATGATTACTTTTTATTGCCAGTCATGTGAACACATTAATATGTTTACTCATCCTAATACTGATGAAACCAGGGTGTGTACACACACACATCTTATATATATATATTTGGGCTATTACAAATAAAGCTGCTATGCATACTATATTATTCAAGTAGTTTTGTGATAAGTACGTAGAAATGGAATTGCTTGATCCTGTGATAGGCTAATATCATTTTATAAGAAAATTACAAATAACTTTCCCAACTGGTTGTATTATGTTACACTCCCATAAATAAGGTACAAGCATTTTATTGTTCCATATCCTTGTCCCCATATAGTATTTTCTTTATCCTCATCCGAGGACATTTTTGCATTTATTCACAGATAGAGTGGGAAGGAGAAGAAGGGAAGAGAGAGAGAGAAACATTGATGTGAGAGAGACACATCGACTGGTTGCCACCCACACGACCTACACCGGGTCTGGGGACAAACTGCAACTGAAGTACGTGCCCTTAGCAGGAACTGAACCTGGGACTCTTTGGTCTGTGGGTGGGCTAGTGCTCTAACCACTGAGCAATCAGCCAGGGCTCCATATGGTATTTCTAAATCTTTTAAATTTTAGCCATTGTGGTGGAATAGTGATGTATCAACTATGGTTTTAATTTGTTTCCCTGAAAATTAATGATGTTGAATACTTTATTCATGCATATATTTGTAATTTATATATCTTTTATGTCAAGTGTCTTTTTTTTAGATCTTTTGCCCATTTTGTATTGAGTTGTCTTTTTATTACAACCCATGTATCAGCCATTTAATCTCTCTTGCCAAGAAGAAAAACTTTTTTTTTCTTTCTCAGAAAGTTCATGAAAAGACAGTTTCTCATTCTCCTGAAACAAATGTATACTTCTTAGAATAGAGGCATCTTTTTTCCTATAAAAACAAAACAAAGGAGGATGGTTACTAAAAATTTGTATGTTTTATGATAGGTGACTTCCTGAGAGCATATCTATCAGTGTTTGTAAAATCGTATGGAATATAAGAAAAACATGTAAGTAAGAAATGGAGATCTGTGAAAATGATGCAGGGCTACTTTGCATAAATACATGTACGTGTTGGGTTTTTTAGGCTAGAGTGAGTTTAGTCAGACAGGGCTGCCTGGGGCTGGATGATGGCCATTAGCGGCCCTAAGTGCCAGACCAAGGCTGCATTTCTCCACCCCACTGTTTAAAAAAAAAAAAAAAAAGGCATAGAATCATAATAACAGTGAAACAAAACGAACAAAAACACTTGTTGATGACTGCAAACATTTTTGAAAATATCAAATGTTAACTTCTTTAAAAAAATAATTTTATATTTTGGGAAATCCCTGTTTTGCTGGCAACTTAGGCACATGCTTAATTTACCTGATGCATATTTAATACTGGCACTGCCTGATTCCAGAACTATTCAGGAAGATGCGAGACAAACCTAAGAGGAGGTGTTTTAAAATTTATTTTAAAAATGTTTAAATCGGCCTGGCCAGTGTGGCTCAGTGGTTGAGCATTGACCCATGCACCAAGAAGTCGCTGGTTTGATTCCTAGTCAGGGCACATGCCCAGGTTGTGGGCCTGATCCCCAGTGGGGGGCATGCAGGAGACGGCCAGTCGATGTTCTCTCTCATCAATATTTCTATCTCTTTCTCTCTTTCTAAAATCAATAAAAAAAAAAATTATGTTTAAATCGATGGAAAAATATTCTTGGGTGAGGAATGAAAAAAAAATGTCAATAGTAATAGTATGGCATAAGTTCTAGTTTATACCCTGGAAGATGTCACCTTCTCTAATAGAGGATTCATATTCAATAGGTGGTGAGCTAGCATTTAGTCTAAAGAGCACACTTGAGTAGATTATTACAAATGTTTCAGCTACCTCTATCCCCAATTTACATCAAGCTTTTTGTTATTAGCTTAGCAGTTGGTAGAAGTGTCTTTTGATAGGTGGAATTCATAATATTCATGATATATAGGTTGGCCAGAAATAATGTAGAAGACACTACCATAGATGGGATGTAAGAATCCTGTGATCTTGATGATTGATTCATAAATAATGCTGATCTCAGCTACTAATACAGTCTTCTTGGACTCCTGCCTCTGCCTAGGTGACTTATCAGAGTTTGTGTCTAGAGTATTGCCATAATAACCATGCATTTACCATTTAGGCAATATTCTGCTGGAACAACTACAAGGACAGACAAAGAGCTGGGCTTCGCCATGTGGTATCTATTGGTAATAAATGTCTGTACATGTACATTTGTCTGAGACTTGCCTTCATTGTATCCTTGTAGGAAGGCTATAAAAAAGTGACCTATAACTATCATTTACCCCTAAATATAGACATTTACCAAAAATATCTGAGAGATATATGACTAAATTGACTTAGGTCAATTTTGCTACACTAATTCTTTGATGCTGACTTTCATAATATAATCCTTGATGTCTCTATCAAATAGAATATTTTCGTGTAGAGGTTAACAGCACAGAAGGCCTGGATTCAAATC